GCATGGTATACATATGGAGAGCCCTGCTAGTGGACCAACGTCTGACGGAACATTACATCGCTGAACCGCTCACCTTCATAAGATAAAAAAACAAAACCACTGGGCTTCTATTTGAAACTTACGCCTCTAAGAGTTGGAAGCAAACTACGAGTGTTTTTTTTCAATTCACAGTGTTGCAGTGAGGAAAATTACAATCGTCCGCACATGAGATACTAAGAGATTTGACGATGTTCTTAGATTGGTATCTAAATTATATGAAGTTCAATAAAGATTAATGTACATCTATTCTGAAACTCAAAAATGAATTTGTCAATGCATTTTCATGTAAACATCGACTGTAAGTTGTTTATGCAATTTGTACGTACATGTTCATGCACGGCGCACAATCTGGATTTCCTAAATCGGTATTTCCTTAAAAATAAAAAAAATACACCAACAAAAACCAATAGCAATCTGGTACTGCTAAAGCAAGGACTTTACGGTGATTAACGGTAAATAGTGCTAACGTAATACCATGGCTTGCTGAAAATTGGTATATTGCAATCAGGAATAGCGAAAAATGTTCATCGAGACAACATCATCTTTTTGGAGACGTTAATAGACGTAATAGACTGCTATATGAGCAACTCGGACAATACTCAGGCAGAGATCGTTTAGTGTTGGGTTGAGGTCTGGCCCTAAGGTCTAGTGATAGGTCATGTTTAGCTTCAACGTCGCCGTCAGTCTCGCCCTGCTTGGTGCAGACAGCATCTGAGGTTCAGGTGACAAAATTGTCTCGCTATATATACTAGGCGTCATTAATAAAGGGGCAAACGATATATAGCTCATGTAAAGAAAATTTTCTCAGAAATAATAGAACTAAGAGTGACATCATAATGTTTATTGTGTTGACAAACGGGACACATCGTGAAATACAGACTAAAAGTTCAAACGGCACTAGCAAACATCAATTGTATAGACCAACTCCCCAAAATGAAAATGACAAACATGAAGCACTCAGTCATTCAATATCTTGTGTACCCTCCTCGCGCGTCCAAGACACAGGTGCACCTTGTTCTCATGCTCCTTATCGAGTTCATAAAGAAAGCTTACGGAATCGCATTTCACTCCTCTACTAGAGCTCTGCGGAGTCCTGGGAGATCCACTGGTGCTGGGTGACGTGTGTACACGCGTCCACCGAGTTCATCCCAGGCATGATCAATTGGGTTGACGTCTGGCGAGCATGCTGGCCACTCCATCCGCTCTACACCCTGCTGCCTCAGGAATTCCGTGGCAATCATGGAAATCATGGCCCTATGAGGCCTCGTCTTGCAGTAAGAATCGACCATAAAAGCCATGCGTGTCTTGCAGGAATGATACTGCTATTGGAGAGAGAATCTCGTCCCGATAACGCTGGCCGGTAGGATTACGGTCGATCACGTGCAGCGGAGTACGTCAAGTGGGAGGTATCCCTGCCCAAGCCATGACCGACCGACCGCCAAATCGGGTAGTGGCCACAATTGCACCTGTGATTCGCTCTAAATTGCGACGCAATCCGAAACATGAGTCTCATTAGCCTATTCAGACAATGACCTATTTTTCAGCCGATCCGAATTTTCTCGTGTGAAAGTGAAAAGAGACACCACAAACAACTATGGTTACACTGAATTCCAATTCCTTGTTTCATAAGAAAATGGTATTTACAAGTTAATTTTAAGTTTAAACTTTAATAACATCGTATTTCTATATAACATATGTTATATTTGGGATTACACTTTCTTTGTACAAATTCTAGTACTTTTGGGGTTGAGTCCCATCCGGGATTCGAACCCGCACCCTCAGAGTCAGGCACCTAATCGCCAGCACACAAAGTCAGACGCCTAGACCGCTCAGCCACCGCGGCTTCAACAAAAATGGAAGTCGGACAACTGGTAGTCTAGACTGCGGACTTTGTGTACCCCTCTGATAAGTGTTAATTGGCACGGCTCCCACGGCCGAAAGCTATGAAATACACAATGCCATTTTAGAAAGTGGTCAAATGTAACATATGTTATATTTGGGATTACACTTTCTATGTATAAAGTTAGTTTATCATTGCCCATTTCAACAATCACAATTCCAGTAGAATAGACACGATACCATCTTAAGGTTTAGTTTGGCAGGCGGTCGACATTTGTTCTGATGCATTACGGCTGTTACATCTACGTAGAAACATGATTTCGCTGAAAAAATATCAGTCATTTCAGCTGTAAATGTCAATGATTATTTTTTTGCCTGAAGGTTTTAGTTAATTCTTGCTCAGGAGGCTAGTGGTTAGCATGGTGACCTCGCTCCTGACATGCAACGCAACAGAGAGTATTCTTGGCTGGGCTCAACCCCTATCATGAATGACGTCAACAGACAGTTTTAAAGATTGTTGACGATGTTGTGTAATTGCATGATTACAGATTGGCTTCAAAGCATTGCATATCGTGGTGATGTGATGGTCACGTGAATGGCCTCATGCTGTTTGTAATGTTTAATCAAAAGCTTTGTGAAATTAGTTTCCGTGAATCCAGTAAAAGATTTGCCGGAATTGCATATGGTAACTGCTCATTACACACAGAAAAGATATTACAGAGGATTGTTGAATTGCGCTTTGAATTTGAGAACGACGTACTTCGGGTTTGTTTTGTGTTAATGATATTGTTTTACTCACGGGGCTTTGAGACATAGGGAGTGGAGTGGAGTCACAAGCTATATTCATGTATGTTCACATATAACCAATTATCGTTTTTACAAGTAATTTGTTGCCGTGCCAAGTTTTTTTAAAATCTGATCTATTCTCGAATCTCCTAAACAATACAGCAACTTCACATGTGTACTTTGTCCCTGTAGAGGAAATGTGTTACTTTTGTATGACGTGCACCGTATCAAAAGACGTTAACGGGTTGCACTTCTTGGTACCCTGCACGGTTCTAGACACTTAGGGAACATGGACTTGCCGAATTTGAGTCACTATAACGTGTCTCTGTTGAATATCAATGTATCTATTTATCCATAAATAAATAACTGTTGCATGACATCTTGAAGGTCACATGCAACCAAAAAATCAAACATAATTAAAACACAATTATCACTTCTTCATGACATATAATATGCATTGCTGATTATGAAAAAACAAAATTATAAGCGTATAATCGCAAATCAAAAGTGCAATATTTTGTACTTGGGTTTACTTCCCTCGAAACGAAGCAGCCGGGATACCGAACCCAGTCAGAGCGGGTGGGTGTGCACTCAAGTGTAACGGCTGGTTCATTAGCAGATGCCCGCCTCACGGCTCATTGTGTGTGTATATATAGAGATGTTGGGTTTTGTAAATACATGCTCATTTTTGTGTATAACATTTTGCAATCAACAGACATCATAACATGTCATGTGTTCAACTATCACACCTGCCTGTCTGTGTAATTACATAATGTGACAGAGACCGAACTCGGGCCATAAATCAATGCATTTTGTTTATGGTGTATAGCCTGATTGGTGTTAAGTTCAAATTGCATGTGGTCAGTGATAGCCAATGTGTATTGAATATTGTCATTAGCAGACAGGCAGGCAGACACACAGATGTCAATAAAACAAGACATTGAGTTTTGTCTGTGACAACGACATATCTATATCACAGTTAGAAATTCTGTCAACGCTAAATAATGACATTGCTTTTAAGTATCGAACTGAGAAAGTGACTCGGTAAGAAGAACGTGTGGTGAAATTATATAAACAGTTAATTTACTGTCATAACATATAAAAAGCTCGCGCCTGTGAGATATCAACAAAACATTAGAAAAATAGCTCACACCAAAGCCTTCACCGAGTATTCACCCGACAACCCGCTTCCAAGTTGCGCGAACCTATTTCACTGCGCACGTGCTATGAGCGCAGCCCAGCTGTTGAAACCCGTTTTCCCCAGAAGGCTGGGGAAAATTAGCATCTTTGAACTCCGGGGCGCGTTTTTTCATCGCGTTATTTTTCAACTTTATATGGCACCATACCGATATTAAAGTTGTGGATTACAACAAGGGGGCATGGCATCAGACACCGATATTACTCCGGATTACACACGCACAGCACGCAAGCACAAGCACACGTCGCTATGTGCAATAATGTATCCTGCGTCTCGTCACCTAACTTGTATCACCACACAGAGCTGTTTTCATAACAGTGATATGGACTGCCAGAGAGTATATTAAAGGTACACAACCTGCAAAGGTGAGAACTTGTACGTATTTGCTGTACAGTCATCGATATCACAGATATTTGACCGCCACATAAATGGGACCGAGCAACAAGAACATAGTAGCTGTAGTGGCGACTCACCCGGTAATGGTAAGATGAAAGTGGAAACAGACTCTTGTATTAGAGGACACATTGCGGCAACTCCCTTCTGGTCAACTTTATACATGTATTTAGACTGACCAGGGCAACTGTCACTAAGTTTGTCCACATCGACTACCTCAATGATATCATCCAATATAGGGGTTAAAAGGAAAATACGATCGAACGCAAAACTTATCATAGAGGTAAAAGCATTCTAAAGTCACATTCCGTGATTAAAATTGAACACAAAGTGCCATATCAGTGTCACGTGTGTACAACTATTTATGATTGCGTACATGGTTCCCTTACTTGTTTATATAACTGTGTGACTCAAACATCTCCACTGTTTGAAGTACGTTCTAACTTTTAACACACACTGGCACCAAGTACGGTTAACCGTTCTCTTTAACACACCGGGCATCAAGATGTCTGCCAGACAGCGGGAATCCTTAGAACCTAAATGCTGTTAATGTTCTTTCATTTAGATTTTCTTTGCAGCTGACACATCTTGAACTTTCCATACCACACATTTATTCTAAAAGAACTAAAAGACAAACATAGCGAGTAAGCGAAGAAGAAAAGCCAAACTGCTGTGAGTCTTTTACGTCCGCTTCTGAAATTTGTAGACACTTTCCGGATTTTAGCGACCGGAAGTGCAGCGAGCATTGTCCAACATGGCGACGGTGGGCACGTTGGAAGATGCAGCGAGGAAACGAAAAGAACGACTGAGAGCCCTACGAGAGAAAAAGCAGGAAAATTCTAAAGGCGACGCATCGGAACAGTCTGACAACAATGAAAGTGAAAGTCTACCTCGGTAAAGACATTTCTGAGAAGTCTAGGATGTTATCGACGTAACACACGACTCGATCGAGATTCATTGACTAACATTATTGTTGCGTTGTATACAAAATTAATGAACAATGTTATGGTAAATATGTCCAAGATACATGTTCAGTGTAGATACCTTCATTTGTCACTCTGGACCCAACACCTTTGAGACTTTTGAACAGAGCTCTAACTCTCAGCTAGTTCATATGAATAAACTCGTATTCCAGCCAAGGCCTAACTCTCAGCATAATTATTTTCAAAGTACATTGTTATTATCATGCTAGTTTAAAAGATTATCAGATCACAGTTTTAACAGTTTTTGTTCATTTTAACATCCAACAGTTTATTATATTAACTATATTTCAGACCCATGTTTAGAAGCTATAAACCACAAGATGACGGACTGAAGGAGCATGCACTGGACACAATTAAACCTGGAGATGGTATGAATTATTATACTATGTCAGGTCTTGTCTCACATTAGGGGACAACAACTCCAGCCCTCAATTTTCTCATGGTATAATTAGCCTTAGCAAGACTAGCACTGAACACAAGTCAAACCAGCCAGAAGTTTGAGTCCATTATAAGCAGATTTTGAAGTCACAGTTGGAGTGTTGTAGCCTTTATATATAGCAGACTTGTACAACTTTTAGTTAATATTTTATCAAATGATCTTTTATAAAGTGACTGCAGTTCTTAAGATTTGAATGTTTTTATAGATGTTTTAATTTTAAAGTCTCTCATAACTCTGTGCTTATATTGTCTTAGGCTATGTATAGTTTTTATCATGTATATATTATATATGTACATTGTTATCAAAATGACGAGGTGAGACTATAATAAACAATCTGTCTGTCTGTATAACTTTATGTTGAAATAGGTCGCCATACAGACTGACCACTTTGATGAGTTAGTATAGGTAGGTGTGTGTGATTGTGGATCAACAATGGATGTAAACCATGTATACTGTATGTGAGGTTCATATGTTCTTGTAATTTTTCAGTTGAGAATGAAGTAAAACATCAGATCGAAGCTGGAAAAACAAAACATATTGTTGAAGAAGTGGTGAGTAGTCTATGTTATTTTTGTGAATTATATGCATGATAAATGACACTCAACTATCATGCTCATTGTACAAAAAAGTGAAAAGAAACTTTGACATGTTCACCGACATACTGTGTTGCCAATTGTATGTTGTTATAAGCTTCTATGCTGCTTTGCTCTTGATCTTTACAAATGATACATTCTGGATGGTTTGGACAAAGAGGTACAAATAATGACAAATGTTAATGTCATCTGTCAAGTGCATCCTTTGGCCACTGAAACCAATGATCATTGATTTGAATCCTATCCTGGTTCATCCCCAGTAGGCTTTCTTTGATTTGTCAGCATCATGTCAGTATGGTTCCCCAAAATGGCAGATGTATGAGACCTGCATCACTTTGGGCTTTTCTCCCAAATTAAGCCGACACACCATGCCATGTTAAAATACTGTTCAAAGCGGAATGGTACCTAACCCTTCACCTATTCTCAAGGCTTCAATTTTAGTCAAAGCTGTTAGAAATTAGTAGCAGTCAAATATATACCCGTATGTGCTGTTTGACAAGTTACCTACTTGCAGTCATCAGCATAATCAGTGATTGTGAACATTTTATAATAATACATTGATTCATGTTCTCTTTGACAACATGTGTCTTGTCATGGTAACCTGTGTCAAAAATGTGATGTAGAAAAGTTAGGTGTATGGGTCCTTTATTGAAATTGCTACAGACCTTATAGGGGCCAAGCCACTCCTGAATTTGGACAATTCTCAGTGTTTCTTTTGCATAGCAAATCCATTCCTGTTTTACACATTTCCAGTAGAGTGTAATGGGTTTGAACTCGTTAAAATTCTTTTGTGATTATGACAGTCGACAAAGCCCAGGTTAGCTGTCATATTTTCACTTTGCTCATTTGTTAATCTGTCAAAACATTTACATTGTTGATGTCTGAAAGTGAAACCTTTAATGGATGATCACTGCAAAGGCATCTTTAGAAACAGAAGACTGTTAGACAGATTTAAGCAAAGTCTCAACCTTATTATATAACCAATATATGACAATTTGGTGAATTGCTCAGCCATTTTTGTACTGTCTTTGTGACATGGATGGAATATTTGCATAATATACTGACTTTTAGATATACTGTATGAAATTCATGAGAACAATTATTCAGTCATTGTAGACGGTTTCCTTAAAACTGAACTATAGATAATGGTCAGTCTCCCTTTTGATAATGTATCATATGTTTACATCTTGTCTTGGTAAGTCATCCTGGTCATTTGAGCTCAACCTAGCAGTAGCTGCTTAGCAATACCAGTAAACTGTTGGGGATGTGGTCAGCACCTGTTCATTGATTGCTCATTCTGTCCAGGACCTCCTGAACTTGGCACCTAGGAAGCCAGACTGGGACTTGAAGCGAGACATTGCCCCCAAGTTGGAGAAGCTGGAGAAACGGACACAGAGAGCGATTGCTGAGTTAATCAGTCAGTATACAACAGCAGTAGCTCATTTGTTCTGTTTAAGACTGCACAGTAACAAAAATAAAAATATGCTGTCATATTGATGAAACTGAAATATCAAGTAAGAAAGGTACTGTGTCGTCAATATGAGAATGATGAGAAATCTTTTAAAGATATAAGTTCTGTATTTGCAATCATACTGAATAAGGTGTTTTCTGGCAAGATTAGATCCATTACCCTACATTGGTAACAATGTTACAATCTTTAGCTGATGCTAAAACATCTAATCAGCTAGGATAGGTGTGAGATTATCTCCCTTTGTTCATTGCATACATTTCTTAGTCAACCATATGTCGTGTAGGATGAATTGTTGCATGTAAGTAGTGAAATCTGGTCACTGTTTGCAGCAGATGTCATATAGCAGGTCTCAGTTGATGAGCTGAACACATCTGTCAGCAGTCAGTTTACTTGAATTACTTCTGGTATTTGAAAATGTTGAGTGGCTGCGTCAGGTGTGTTTCAGAAACAAAAACACTCACCTTTACTTGATTTCCTCTTCTGTTTTGTGTTTCCAGGGGATAGATTAAAAGCAAGCCAGGAAGATTTAGCCAGTGTGGTGAATGCGAGCGAGGCAGTTGCCAGAGCTGATGCAGATGATGATGATGACTGAGGCATGTGTCTGGATGTCGTAGAACTGAACTGTTCACCCAAACCAGTCTACCGATGTCAGAAATGAGAAGGCACAGGTCTGGACGTGGTGAAACTGAACTGTTCACCAAAATTGTAAAACTGAGGGTCTTCAGGACTTGCAGTGTCTTCAGACGTCTACAGTGAGACCTTATCATCTTTATGATTGTTCCGGAGATGGCTACTTGTGTGAGGTGCGGCTGATGTACTGAGTGGTGTGAGGATGAGTATTCACATTTGAAAAGAGGACACTCTCGGACTTGTGTGACCACGTGAAGACAACTGAGGACATATTTCATCTACTAGTTACGATAGAGTTCCTTTGAATACATAACAGTGAAATAGGCTTTTGAGAGTGAGGCTCATACTGCTAAACATCAAGCAACCTTTGACAAGAGGAGCGGGGCTAAGTTTCCTCAGTGAGTTGTTTTGGGAGTTATGTTTAATGGCGATAACAAGGAGTCTAATAATAACACACTACATTCCATACGTCCATGTGCATGGTGCCGATGATCAGCTCAGAGAGTATTCCATGTGACATTTTTGCCATGTGTTACTTGCTTCCCTCCAGCCTATTATAATGACTTTATTATTATCTTTAAGTGAAAGTTCCAACATGTATAGCTGCAACTGATGTTTGTGTTGATATTTTTGGCTCTGGTAAAGTTAAGATGATTATCATGTCATATTGTGAGAAATAGATAGGCAGAGAACCTGGTCAAACTTTTCTTATGTATATCTCAAGTGTTTCCACATGAGTGTTGAACTTTCTGAATATCTGCATATGTATGAATCATGTGTAAAAATACAATTGTCCTGTTACCATTTGTTATGTTCCAGTGACATTGCTTTTGTTAGAAATCGATGCTGAACCAATTGAGCTGAATCATCAGTTTTGCTGGACATAGCATCCACCAACATTGTACCTTGTATTCTAAGATGCCTAGCGGTTAGAACAATCGAAAAAAAATACATTATCAGACAATAAAGGTATAGTTTTTTGATGACGTTACAATTGAATGACGTTATCCCGTCACTGCGCCATTCTAGTGTGCCCCCTCGAATCGAACTATTTTTACATTACGTCACGATGTAAGCGACGTCACGATGCATGTCAGTTGTCATCGCCTCGTACGGCATCCTACAGTAAACTACTCCGTTGCATCCCGTTTCTTGGTTTGCAGCTGCTTCACGCAGCTAACATCACTGGTGGAAACATTACGTTTATGTTTTACGATGGTTAGTTAATGTGTGTCAATTCGACTCACACGTTTTCAGCGACACGGTAGCGATCGCAATGTTTACATTCCCACAATGCAATTGTGGAATGTCGCTTGACTACTCAGCTTCATCTGGATGTACTGATCTAAACTTACGTTGGTAGTAGAAATGCGACGTTCATATTGCCCCATATGGTTTACGTTAATGACAGATGTAATTAAAATAATTCAGAGAAGATATTTAATCCAAACATAAACCGTCATCAAACTGTTATAATTTGTTTTTTTCTGGTAACGTTCATCTTAACGTGGGGTGGGGGGGCAGACACATCAATAGAACAGCGCGTCAGTTAACCCTGTGTGAGGATTCTTAATTTAGGTCACCGACGCTGTCGTTTGTTTTCTGCCTTAAATTAATCGTAATTATCCTTAGAAAGTCTTAAATTTGGCATCTTAGAAAAGAAATACAGTTTGCTCTACCACCATGTATAGAATAAAGCACACTTTCGCCCTCAACTATTATAACGTTAAAGCACTTGGATGCAAGCGTCCAGTGATTACCATTATAACCATTGGCAAAACACCATTGTCAGGGTGAGGATGGTGGCTGTATGAATGTGAATGTACATGTGGTCCAAATGTAGCATCATCATCATCATCTTTGTCATGTCATCCACTGTGATGATCTGTGTATCACTGATAATATTTCTGAATAAAAATTTACAAGATTTTGTAGCTTTCATGATTTGTTTTCATTTTCATCCTTGTATCTTCATATTCAGTTCTCAACTTCCATCCAATATGGGACAGAGCCTTGGACCAAAGGTAGGCCATGCTAAAGGTGGAGACAACCGTTGATTTAGTTGTGATACAGTTCCAGCACCAACCTCCTGAGTACGTGAAGTTCTAATATTGACATTCATACCCAATCACTCACATCTGAATACAGATACAACTTTTCATTTGTTGTTCTAATACAAGTCAAGTTAAACACTCACGTCCTGTGTAAAGATACAACTTTTCATTTGTTGTTCTAATACAAGTCAAGTTAAACACTCACTTCCTGTGTATAGATGCAACGTTTCATTATCCCCCGCCGCGGGTACGTACGAATTAGAATATCTTAAGAACCGTTAACCATTCTTCTTTTCATAATTGGTACCTAGGTCCATCACAGTATAAGAAAGGTCAAAGTCAGGTTTGGTGACCTTGACCTTAATTCAAAATATGTGTGTTTGAACACCTAAAGAGCAAGACATCAAGAGAGGTTGACAGGTCAGGTTTTTGTTGACATTTTACTTAAATTCATTTTTACAAGTTTGATTTGATAATTTGCGGCGGGGGATTATGTCACCTTAGTGACAATGCTTGTTTGTTGTTCTAATACAAGTCAAGTTAAACACTCACTTCCTGTGTATAGATACAACTTTTCATTTGTTGTTCTAATACAAGTCAAGTTAAACACTCACTTCCTGTGTATAGATGCAATGTTTCATTATCCCCCGCCGCGCGTACGTACGAATTGGAATATCTTAAGAACCGTGTACTAGATTCTTTTCATAATTGGTACCTAGGTTCATCACAGTATAAGAAAGGTAAAAGTCAGGTTTGGTGACCTTGACCTTAATTTCAAGGTCACAAGGGGACTTTAACGTTTTACCTGCATGTTAAGCTATCTCAAGAACCGTTTTCTGGATTTTCTTCATATTCAATACAAAGCTTTATCTAGGGAAGGCGCAGTGCCCAGTCGATTTTGGTGACCTTCACATAATTGCCAAGGTCATGGCGACACTTTGATGATTTCAGCATGTAAACCTGCATGTTAACCTGCATGTTAAGCTATCTCAAGAACCGTTCCCTGGATTTTCTTCATATTTGAAACCAAGCTTCATCTAGGGATGGCGCCAGGCCCAGTCGATTTTGGTGACCTTCACATAATTTTCAAGGTCACAGAGACACTTTGAATATTTCAGCATGTAAACCTGAATTGTCATCAAGATATTTCAAAACCAGTTCACTGGATCTTCTTCAAAGACTTTCAAGACTTCCCTTGAATGTTTTTCAAAAAGCAATTTCTTTAGTACTATTTTGGGGTTAGGGTTAGGGTTAGGGTTATATCTTAAGAACCGTTTACTAGATTCTTTTCATAATTGGTATCTAGGTTCATCACAGTATAAGAAAGGTCAAAGTCAGGTTTGGTGACCTTGACCTTAATTTCAAGGTCACAAGGGGACTTTAACGTTTTACCTGCATGTTAAGCTATCTCAAGAACCGTTTTCTGGATTTTCTTCATATTCAATACAAAGCTTTATCTAGGGAAGGCGCAAGGCCCAGTCGATTTTGGTGACCTTCACATAATTTTCAAGATCATGGCGACACTTTGATGATTTCAGCATGTAAACCTGCATGTTAAGCTATCTTAAGGACCGATTACTGGATTTTCTTCATATTTGAAACCAAGCTTTATCTAGGGATGGCGCCAGGCCCAGTCGATTTTGGTGACCTTCACATAATTGCCAAGGTCATGGCGACACTTTGAATATTTCAGCATGTAAACCTGCATGTTAAGCTATCTCAAGAACCGTTTTCTGGATTTTCTTCATATTCCATGCAAAGCTTTATCTAGGGAAGGCGCAAGGCCCAGTCGACTTTGGTGACCTTCACATAATTGCCAAGGTCATGGCGACACTTTGATGATTTCAGCATGTAAACCTGCATGTTAAGCTATCTCAAGAACCGTTTCCTGGATTTTCTTCATATTTGAAACCAAGCTTTATCTAGGGATGGCGCCAGGCCCAGTCGATTTTGGTGACCTTCACTTAATTTTCAAGGTCACAGAGACACTTTGAATATTTCAGCATGTAAACCTGCATGTTAAGCTATCTCAAGAACCGTTTTCTGGATTTTCTTCATATTCCATGCAAAGCTTTATCTAGGGAAGGCGCAAGGCCCAGTCGACTTTGGTGACCTTCACATAATTGCCAAGGTCATGGCGACACTTTGATGATTTCAGCATGTAAACCTGCATGTTAAGCTATCTTAAGGACCGATTACTGGATTTTCTTCATATTTGAAACCAAGCTTTATCTAGGGATGGCGCCAGGCCCAGTCGATTTTGGTGACCTTCACTTAATTTTCAAGGTCACAGAGACACTTTAAATATTTCAGCATGTAAACCTGCATGTTAAGCTATCTCAAGAACCGTTTTCTGGATTTTCTTCATATTCAATACAAAGCTTTATCTAGGGAAGGCGCAAGGCCCAGTCGATTTTGGTGACCTTCACATAATTGCCAAGGTCATGGCGACACTTTGATGATTTCAGCATGTAAACCTGCATGTTAAGCTATCTCAAGAACCGATTCCTGGATTTTCTTCATATTTGAAACCAAGCTTTATCTAGGGATGGCGCCAGGCCCAGTCGATTTTGGTGACCTTCACATAATTTTCAAGGTCACAGAGACACTTTGAATATTTCAGCATGTAAACCTGAATTGTCATCAAGATATTTCAAAACCAGTTCACCGGATCTTCTTCAAAGACTTTCAAGACTTCCCTTGAATGTTTTTCAAAAAGCAATTTCTTTAGTACTATTTTGGGGTTAGGGTTAGGGTTAGGGTTATATCTTTAAGAACCGTTTACTAGATTCTTTTCATAATTGGTATCTAGGTTCATCACAGTATAAGAAAGGTCAAAGTCAGGTTTGGTGACCTTGACCTTAATTTCAAGGTCACAAGGGGACTTTAACGTTTTACCTGCATGTTAAGCTATCTCAAGAACCGTTTTCTGGATTTTCTTCATATTCAATACAAAGCTTTATCTAGGGAAGGCGCAAGGCCCAGTCGATTTTGGTGACCTTCACATAATTTTCAAGGTCATGGCGACACTTTGATGATTTCAGCATGTAAACCTGCATGTTAAGCTATCTTAAGGACCGATTACTGGATTTTCTTCATATTTGAAACCAAGCTTTATCTAGGGATGGCGCCAGGCCCAGTCGATTTTGGTGACCTTCACATAATTTTCAAGGTCACAGAGACACTTTGAATATTTCAGCATGTAAACCTGCATGTTAAGCTATCTCAAGAACCGTTTTCTGGATTTTCTTCATATTCCATGCAAAGCTTTATCTAGGGAAGGCGCAAGGCCCAGTCGACTTTGGTGACCTTCACATAATTTTCAAGGTCATGGCGACACTTTGATGATTTCAGCATGTAAACCTGCATGTTAAGCTATCTTAAGGACCGATTACTGGATTTTCTTCATATTTGAAACCAAGCTTTATCTAGGGATGGCGCTAGGCCCAGTCGATTTTGGTGACCTTCATTTAATTTTCAAGGTCACAGAGACACTTTGAATATTTCAGCATGTAAACCTGCATGTTAAGCTATCTCAAGAACCGTTTTCTGGATTTTCTTCATATTCCATGCAAAGCTTTATCTAGGGAAGGCGCAAGGCCCTGTCGACTTTGGTGACCTTCACATAATTGCCAAGGTCATGGCGACACTTTGATGATTTCAGCATGTAAACCTGCATGTTAAGCTATCTTAAGGACCGATTACTGGATTTTCTTCATATTTGAAACCAAGCTTTTTCTAGGGATGGCGCCAGGGCCCAGTCGATTTTGGTGACCTTCACATAATTTTCAAGGTCACAGAGACACTTTAAATATTTCAGGATGTAAACCTGAATTGTCATCAAGATATTTCAAAACCAGTTCACTGGATCTTCTTCAAAGACTTTCAAGACTTCCCTTGAATGTTTTTCAAAAAGCAATTTCTTTTAGTACTATTTTGGGGTTAGGGTTAGGGTTAGGGTTATATCTTAAGAACCGTTTACTAGATTCTTTTCATAATTGGTATCTAGGTTCATCACAGTATAAGAAAAGTCAAAGTCAGGTTTGGTGACCTTGACCTTAATTTCAAGGTCACAAGGGGACTTTAACGTTTTTCCTGCATGTTAAGCTATCTCAAGAACCGTTTACTGGATGTTCTTCATATTCAATACAAAGCTTTATCTAGGGAAGGCGCAGGGCCCAGTCGATTTTGGTGACCTTTACTCAATTTTCAAGGTCATAGAGACACTTTGAAGATTTGAGAATGTTAAACCTGAATTGTCATCAAGATATTTCAAAACCAGTTCACTGGATCTTCTTCAAAGACTTTCAAGACTTCCCTTAAATGTTTTTCAAAAAGCAATTTCTTTAGTACTATTTTTGCATATTTCATACACTATGACATTCATGTCAAGTCAGTCTTGAAAATATGTGTGTTTGAACACCTAAAGAGCAAGACATCAAGAGAGGTTGACAAGTCAGGTTTTTGTAGACATTTTACTTTACAAGTTTGATTTGATAATTTGCGGCGGGGGATTATGTCACCTTAGTGACAATGCTTGTTTGTTGTTCTAATACAAGTCAAGTTAAACACTCACTTCCTGTGTATAGATACAACTTTTCATTTGTTGTTCTAATACAAGTCAAGTTAAACACTCACTTCCTGTGTATAGATGCAATGTTTCATTATCCCCCGCCGCGCGTACGTACGAATTGGAATATCTTAAGAACCGTGTACTAGATTCTTTTCATAATTGGTACCTAGGTTCATCACAGTATAAGAAAGGTAAAAGTCAGGTTTGGTGACCTTGACCTTAATTTCAAGGTCACAAGGGGACTTTAACGTTTTACCTGCATGTTAAGCTATCTCAAGAACCGTTTTCTGGATTTTCTTCATATTCAATACAAAGCTTTATCTAGGGAAGGCGCAGTGCCCAGTCGATTTTGGTGACCTTCACATAATTTTCAAGATCATGGCGACACTTTGATGATTTCATCTTAAGGACCGATTACTGGATTTTCTTCATATTTGAAACCAAGCTTTATCTAGGGATGGCGCCAGGCCCAGTCGATTTTGGTGACCTTCACTTAATTTTCAAGGTCACAGAGACACTTTGAATATTTCAGCATGTAAACCTGCATGTTAAGCTATCTCAAGAACCGTTTTCTGGATTTTCTTCATATTCAATACAAAGCTTTATCTAGGGAAGGCGCAGGGCCCAGTCGATTTTGGTGACCTTCACATAATTGCCAAGGTCACAGAGACACTTTGAAGATTTGAGAATGTTAACCTGAATTGTCATCAAGATATTTCAAAACCAGTTCACTGGATCTTCTTCAAAGACTTTCAAGACTTCCCTTAAATGTTTTTCAAAAAGCAATTTCTTTAGTACTATTTTTGCATATTTCATACACTATGACATTCATGTCAAAGTCAGTCTTGAAAATATGTGTGTTTGAACACCTAAAGAGCAAGACATCAAGAGAGGTTGACAGGTCAGGTTTTTGTAGACATTTAACTTAAATTCATTACTTTACAAGTTTGATTTGATAATTTGCGGCGGGGGATTATGTCACCTTAGTGACAATGCTTGTTTGTTGTTCTAATACAAGTCAAGTTAAACACTCACTTCCTGTGTATAGATACCAGCTTTTATATGTGGTTTAATAATAGCCAAGAACATAGTGTGGATTACTTCTGTTCCTGAGCGGTTAAGAACACCTAGGTCATACACTGTTAATCACACATTTTAAGTTCAGCATTTGGACCAGAACTAAGGAAACACTTCACAATTTCGCCTAACACAGTCTACAGGAATTATACTTTATTGTGGAAATGTTTGTGTCTTCCTATATCTTGGCATATAGTTTGTTTTCATGTTGTCTACCCACCAGTATCCAATTTCTCAGTTTCTTCAGCAGGTTACAAACACTTTACAACCTCATAATCAAACATTTGTATTCAGTTCTTTGGTTTTCAGAAACGAACCCATCTTCTTAGTTGTGTCTTGTGCCGTGAAGCTACATTTATCTTATTTTTGGCAGAGTGTGTTTCTACTTGAAATGCACTAATTACAAGTGCATGTTATTTATAACTTAACAGTGGAGAATGGGTGGCATCCTCCTCTAAGGCTCCACAATTTGCAGTGCAGAGTTGTGCCTCTTTGGCACACCGGAAGCCTGTTGTGGGTGGAATCCCGGCTCTCCCATATATTGTTGACTATTGTGGGGTTTGACCAAGGTGCATCCCTTCCGGTCTTCCTCTGAGGTGACATAGATTAATGCTGTTGGAAGGATGGTTGAACGTTAAACCTCATGTACTCGTTCAATCACTCACACTTCGCAGCATGGGGCCGCGGGGTAGCCTAGTGGTTAAGGCGTTCGCTCGTCACGCCGAAGACCCGGGTTCGATTTCCCACATGGGTACAATGTGTTAAGCCCATTTCTGGTGTCCCCCGCCGTGATATTGCTGGAATATTGCTAAAGCTGCGTAAAACCAAACTCACTCACTCACTCACACTTCGCAGAATGGTTTAGGTATTTCAATTATCTGGTGTATGGAATTGTTTTTATTCATGGAAGAAAGAACACGTGAAGTATTAATCTGTTTCATCAATATTTCATAAACACTTTTATTTGGAATATATTTTTACTGTCCTGAAGACTGCGACTGCAACCAGGCTTTCTGAAAAAGAAAGAGATATTTGCTAACACATAACCACATCTAAAACGATATCAAGTTTATATACATCAGATGATAAGATAGTTACAAAACATTGAGACAATATCCCACACGTAATTTCAAGTAAGATGTTTGAGAATTTATCTATGAGCAACAATGAGGAGTCTGTAATACTCACACCACGGCTTGGCAATCAACACCACCCAAACGTGATAGCTTCAAACCTTGGTGGTATGCCGTTTTACGTCACACTCAGCAATATTCTAGTCATATGCTGTCGTAATGCCAAGAATAGGTTCCCATGAACCATTGAAGGTCGTTAGAGGCGATTAAATAGGTCGGTTGTAAGCTCTGTGACAGGATGGGATGAGTTTCATCGTACTTGACACTGTAGATCGTTTACAATCAAACACCGGGTTGCCTGGTACTGACCGGTTATTTACAGCCATAGTTGCGGTAAACAACTACCAAACACGCATCACTACCCTTACACGACTGACGTAACACAGATTAACACTTGAGCGTGGACCACCTCAGACCAGTTCACCTTTACAAGACTGACATGTAACAGGTGTATATTTGAGGGTGGACCACCTCAGACCAGTTCACCTTTACAAGACTGACGTCTCACAGGTGAACATTTGAGCGTGGACCACCTAAGACCAGTTCACCTTTACAAGACTGACATGTAACAGGTGAACATTTGAGCGTGGACCACCTAAGACCAGTTCACCTTTACAAGACTGACATGTAACAGGTGTATATTTGAGGGTGGACCACCTCAGACCAGTTCACCTTTACAAGACTGACGTGTCACAGGTGAACATTTGAGCGTGGACCACCTAAGACCAGTTCACCTTTACAAGACTGACGTGTAACAGGTGAATATTTGAGGATGGATCACCTCAGAGCAGTTTACCCTTACAAGAATGACGTGTCACAGGTGAACATTTGAGCGTGGACCACCTCAGACCAGTTCACCTTTACAAGACTGACGTGTAACAGGTGAACATTTGAGGGTGGATCACCTCAGACCAGTTCACCTTTACAAGACTGACGTGTCACAGGTGAACATTTGAGCGTGGACCACTTCAGACCAGTTCACCTTTACAAGACTGACGTGTAACAGGTGAACATTTGAGGGTGGATCACCTCAGACCAGTTCACCTTTACAAGACTGACGTGTCACAGGTGAACATTTGAGGATGGATCACCTCAGACCAGTTCACCTTTACAAGACTGACGTGTAACAGGTGAACATTTGAGGGTGGACCACTTCAGACCAGTTCACCTTTACAAGACTGACGTGTCACAGGTGAACATTTGAGCGTGGACCACTTCAGACCAGTTCACCTTTACAAGACTGACGTGTCACAGGTGAACATTTGAGGATAGATCACCTCAGGCCAGTTCACCTTTACAAGACTGACGTGTCACAGGTGAACATTTGAGGGTGGATCACTTCAGACCAGTTCACCTTTACAAGACTGACGTGTAATAGGGGAACACATGAGGGTGGACGACTTCACCATCACAAGACTCGCGTGTAACAGGTGAACATTTGAGCGTGGACCACCTCAGACCCCTTCACCCAAACAAGACTGACGTGTCACAGGTGAACGCTTGAGGGTGGACAATTCCACACCACGTCACCCTTACAGCACTGACAATTAAGACTCACGTGTCACAGGTCAACACTTGAGGGTGGACGATTTACACACCAGTTCACCCTTAGAACACTGACATGTCACAGGTAACCACTTGAGAGTGGTCGACTTCACATTACAAGACTCACGTGTCACAGGTCAACACTTGAGGGTAGAGAGGAGGCCAATGTTGACCTTCGCGGTTCCAACCATCTTGCCATTGTCATCAGTACAGAAGCAGACGGATCCCTCGCACTTGTACTGCTGGTAGTTTCCATTGTTCTCACAGGTGAACGTCTGGCCCAGCATCCCGGTCTTGGAGAACTGCTCCTTGTCACGTGCACACTCTGAAGTTAGATGAGTTCAGGGTTGTATTCTGCACTGACATGCTCTGTAATTATAATCTTGATTGTCTTTGCCACTGCTAACAAGTGATTAGTGAATATATGTCAACAAATTAATATGACGGATGACAACTTGAGAGAAGTGGCCACCATGTCGGTATTCGATTGTCTAGTATCTTGGACCTTCCGATCAACATTTCACTATTTCAATTAATCGCAAAACCCAAACCTACAGATCTACAGCTGTGACGCACGCTTAAAAACCGACAATTTATAAGCACGCCTGTCAACGAACCATTCATGTAAACACGAAGTTTATTTCAAAACATAGATTTATACACGCAAAACCCTCCCCCAACCTTAAACACGCGGTCGCACTTTAGCCTACAGACTCCGTGATGAGTAACAGATTACGGCTTGATGCCACCGAGCCGACATTCTTGCTAGCTTTGTGCTAAAGTTTGCTAACTATGTGAACAGGAAGTAAATCCATATAACACAGACAATAAAACGGGAGATCTTGACAAAAGTGACAACTTCTAATAATTAAGTGCACGAAAAGTGAAAAATGAACTCCTACACACTTGTAAACAAGTGAAGCAGGTGATAGTGCGAGAATCATGAATAGTCAATTTGACGACAAACAATTTCTGGTGGTGTCTGGTAGAACCAAGTGAAGACGTAACTACCATAGCCAACCAATCTTCGGGAGCGCAAGCATTTCGGTTACTTTGTGTAGGAGGCGACAAGAAATCGTCTAACGGTAACGAAGGTACTCGTTCTCTGTGAAAATGTATTTGGTATTAAAACAAAATACGCCTGCCCATATTCTTGACACATATACATCGATAGGATGTCTGTTTTATGGAAACTAAACCCGATGACCTAGACATCATTATTATCCTTGGATACATGACACATTTTCAAATACTAGACAAAGACACACTGCAATAAAATAATCATAAATGGTCAGGATATCAAATATAGACCCATAGATAAAATTACCGATCTCATTCTATGTATTGGATTATTGGAAGCTGTAAATATGGCACCAACCACTCTCGGACAAAGATTGGCCACTTTGACGTCATTATGTCCACAGTGCCTGATCATACATAGTACCAGGGCATTATAGAGCTCATCAACGCCCAGGACAAAATGGGTTCCTACAATATACCCAACCAGCGATTCTTTTGTGAATGTAGCAAGGTTAATGCTCACGTCCATAAACTTCTTGATTTTGTAATTAATCAAGAAATGTGCAATTTGTGAAGGGTTTGTTAGTAGCGTCACTTGAAATAACTTTAGTCCATTGGATTACTGTATCGCCTCTCTTCGGCAGCAATAGTAAGTTTAAAGGTGGTAACTTTAGGAGTTTGATCTCCTGTTCTCCAATATATACTTTCGTACATTGCTTAGTCATAATACGTCTGCTGTACATTCAGACGTGAAATATATCCGATAATTGAGTGAGTGAGTTTGGTTCTACACTGCGTTTAGCAATACATTCCATCAATATTACGGCGGGGGACAGCAGATACGGGCTTCACACATAGTGCCCATGTGGGAAATCGAACCCAGGTCTTCGGCGTGACGAGCGAACGCTTCAACCACTTGGCTACCCCGCCGCCCCTCCGAATATTGAACAATAGGAAGTTTCGAAAAGCTGCTTAGTTCTTCCAATAGTTTTGGAAGAACCTGAAGTCTTGTGGTTAAGGGAGTGAAACCCGACAAAGTTTGACGAGTTATTCGCCTTTCATAGCGATTTGCACAATTGAAGAACATAATCTTAGTAAGCCTTAAGTTTCTTTTATCGAGAGTATGGATGAAAACGTTTACACGAACAGTCAAATAACACCAGAAGAAATAGAACATTGGTTGCAAAACAACTAATATAGAAAGTCTTCTGCAAGTGATGGAATTACACATGAATACATTGTACGTTTGTTGGAAAATGTTGATAAGAAAAGCAAGATTTATGGATGTCAACTTCTTTATTGTGGATAACACGACATTTCGGAGTGTATGCTTGCTGCTTCATTCACCTGATGATGACATCCATAAATCTTGCTTTTCTTATGCATTCCACTTCTAAATGCCCTTAAAAGATTTGAAAATATTGATGTTCATATAAGGTAAATTAACATATGTTGTCTTTAATCCTGAATCAAGGCTAGTCGGCATCGTAGTACCTATACTAACAAAGAAGGCCCATCCCATCCAGAAAGCTGTCGCCATGTTGTTTACTTGCTGTGTGGGAACATTATTCAGTAATCAATAATAGACTTTATAACTTTATCGGAAAAATGTATTTAGCTTTATTGAGTTGCTGATGGTGAGGAAGAAAAAAACGACTTATTTTTATTAATTGATTTTATTGATAGCAAACAGTTCGATTCTGTGCAGCGGGTCGGGCTTTTGGACACACTATTGTCTCTTAATATTTCTGAAAAAAGTCTCACGATAACTACACTGTGCTCATAATAAATATGAAGCTGGAGTCCAGGGTAGAAAAAACCCGTATCCTCCTGTTCGTGTTCTTTTCTACCCTGGACGCCAGCTTCATATTTTAGTGGAAATACGTGTAACGAACTACAGGTAGTGGTCCCTGTGGGTTTTCTGTATGTACAAGGATGCGGACGGATCCAGAGTGCACACTGGGTGCATCAGTTATAGATATTGAATCTAACGGGAGGACCTTAATTGTTTTACGTGTTGGTTCGAATCCCGGAAGGACACAACCCAGAATTAGTACTAACACGTGTACTTTAGTGATCATCTATTCGCTACTGAACCGGACAACATGAAGCATACGAAAGAAAAACAACGAATAAGAAGCGAGAAGGTTCTACCCGACCGAGAATTGTAGGGCCACCTATATACTCACGGCAGTTCTTGGTGGAGAAGTCGGTGGCTCCGATGCTTGTTCTGTAGCCAGCAATCTCAATCCCGGCAGAATCCACACAGTAGCATCTACAACGGACACAAAGCTCAGCAAGGGTAAAATATCATGGACTGAAGAAAGCCAGTCGGTTCTAAACGTATTCAGCTTATAAAATCTGGTCACGGATTATATTCTTCATATGTGTCCGTTTCCGGTGTCAATAACTACGGTATTGCCTAAATAGTACTAAAGTTCACTGTTTAGGTTCATCGCTCACTCTATGCTGTTATTAAATTCTAAACAACACTTTACTTCACAAACCTTCAAATTAATGAGTATACAGCAATATCATAACAATTCATAGTTTCTTCTTGGTGAACTACGTATATTGCTGAGTGCGGCGTAAAACTAAACTCACTCACTCTGGTTGAAATAGTCAAAACTGCAATTCAGTAAGATAATCCACTTCTGTACTTAGGATTATCTTGCTAAATTACGTCGCCATCAATTACCCAGTGCATTACATCTGTTTGTCGACTTAATAAATGCCCTGGATGAAATCACCCTTTAGTTTCGTTCAGAAAATGAGGTCACCGTTTCGGTGACGAGAGTAAATACATTGTGCGGCTGTGTCAGCGCCGTTACAACTGAATCAGCTGGCTAAACGCTATGCTCGAAAGCTTTCTCACTTATATTCCCTTTAGGCTTTCCTAATAGAACCATTGGTAGGATATGAGCCCGCAGAGAGCGCGTTACGACTTGTTCACAGACACCGGAAACGGACGCAAATGAAGGACATATTGGTCACATATAGTTAACAGCGTAATGTTGACGTACACTGATCCCATGCACTGTACGGACTTGTAGGATCCGTCCTGGTTACACGTGGGGGTCTGGACACCCAACATGGGGGTACCAGTCTGCAGCTGTTTCAGTTTCAGTGCACAAGGACCGAGTGCCACTGTTGAAGAGGGAGAGAGAGAAACATGTTAATGCAAAACGAGAGAAATATCTTTACTAGACGCCTCAAACCATCAAAATATTATAATTACCTTTTTAGTTTCACATATTTCATGATATATTTTAACACGAGGCTAATAAATAATTATCAAATACTTGAATTCGGACATCATAGGTAATGTCAGTCACTGATAAGTCAAATTCAGAAGCCATACAGTGACGTTTTGCCAAGCAGCATTCCATACAGCTTTTTGTGAAACGTTTGTATGCGGCATTGAAACTGCCGCGCCCCAAAAAATCAAAATCACACAACTAGTCACACCCCATAGCCCTTGAGACGTTATATAAGATATTTATAATGCATTTAATATCCCCAGTGATAATCATATATGATACATCGCCATCGAATGTTGATTTCTTGTTCGATTCGTTTTTAGCCACCATTTGGATGTATACTTTCTTCTCACATACAGTTGGTAATACGATTTGGATTTCATCTACACTTATGGTATGCTCGTATCAAAAATATCTGTAATCTATCCAATGTTTGAAACGTAAAGAATCTGACCTTGTCTTTTGACAGCTTTGACACAAGTCACGGTCTTCAAGCTACAGTGTAAACCGGGTCCACACTCGGAACTAGAGGGAACACCCAACAAGAAGCTGAAACTACACTTCTCATTTTCTCCTGAAAAAGAAAAATTCAGATGTCAGCAGGTATATCCTTATATCTCGCATATAATGAAATAACACCGTGTTGCGAAATTGCAAGAACAACGTGCTGGCAATCGTTAACAAATTGTGCTTGCCACTGCCAGAAATATAATATAATCAGGGTACATCTTGAATTCGAACTCACAATCGTAGGTTCATGGAACGTCTAAGGGACTCAACTCTGTTCAGCAGAGTTTGGAAGACGGGAGACAGGGTAGATGTTACTGTAAGACACTTCGTCACTGTTTACTGTTTTCTCTGCTGGCCTACGCCATTTTACCAATATTCACATAAGGCCAGTATATCAAATTCCCATTTTTCAAACAGTTCAGATAGCACCAAATTGTATTATCGTGTTTACAAGATTTCGACTGTCAGCCCGCGTGGAACTACCGATAAGAACGGTCATTGCATTGTCCTCGATTCTGTATGGGAATACCCAGCTGATAGCCACATGGCAACACTGAACATAAGGCTTCTATTCAAATAACACAGAATTAATATGAGATGAGATTTAAGAATCTTCTTTTTGAATAAATTCCAGAATAAAGAAAATCTCTCCTAAGTAGAAAGACTCATTTTGTCATTCAAACACTAAAGAACATGTGCTATTATAGTTTTATTCATTTCACTCTACTTTCAAGACATGCTTTCAAGAGAACATTTTCACATGCATTTTCGCAATTATTCTGAGATATGAAGAATGCGGTACGGCCGGTGAGATCTGATAGTTTCTCCTGTAAGAAAGTTTTGATGTTGCATGACGCAAAGGCGTATGGCCAAGGACTGTTGGAACTGTGCGGACAGCAGGTGTACCTGTCTGTTATTTGATCAGCTGATACACACCTGAACTGTTGAGCATGTACTTAATATCAGTTGCCAACATCTAGGTCTTCTCATAGTGATATTTGAAACCACTGTAATATGTATATGTTGCGGCCTATGACATACGAGTGTACAGATGTTTCATTACAATAATGTTTCAAAGGTCATGTTGACATAATTATAATTACACACAGATCAACTATATTAGCTCCCTAATTTAAGAATGTAAGGTAGGCAATAAAATGACATATGTTTTTACCTCGTGCATAAGATCCATAAAAGTTGGAATGATATTGAACAATAACACAATATAAATTAGTCAGTTATCAGTTCGTGAGTGGGTGAACATACTGTGTGATATCTACTATACTACAACACAAAATATCTTAACTGTCCTCTCAAATTGAGTCATGTATGAAATAACGTTAATGCCATATATGTAGTGATGCCGGGAGGAAGAACAAGGTAAATCCTTACCTAGAAGATTAACACAGGTGTCGCAGCAGCCACAGAACCCGCCGTTGGCCTTGACCGTGCCCTTACAGCCACTAAGGTCAGGGCAGCTACCCTTGCACATGTCAGGGGTGCACACGATGGCCTCGGCAGCCAGAAACCCACAGGCGGCGACAAACAGAAGTAACATGGCGAAGGTGGCTTGCGAAATGAAGTGCTCCCGGATGACGTTACCTATATACCATTGGTCTGAAACCTTATCTGTGTGTGACGGTGGTGTGATAATGCAGCACTGACAGTAAGCTGTACTGTAATGGGACTTTAACAGGTCAACTTACAGACGCGTTTACAAAACTTTGGGCGTAAACCAAGACATAGATTACACATGCACGTCGTATTTTTATCTACTTCTTAATTTGCAACACCCTGATTCCACACATTACCGATTCTTTAGAATGCTGTATAGATGCATTTATATTGAATCATTATCGAAGCGAGTTACAAACTCTATATGAATAAGAAGAGATCACATGATACATTTGACCTTCTCTGTTATTGACATAACATATTTATGCTAAAGATCGCAAGTATGTGTTACATTAACTTTAGATTGACCTGCAATAATGCCACTCCAGGTGTTGTAATATTCAGTCCGTGAATATTGTTTCATATCCCGTTCAGCAGATCCAACTTTATCACAAGGGTTTGTGAAGTTAGACGATCGGACAGAGTGATCGGCCAACGATCTCCGTTTCTAGGAAACACCAGATTATGGGAATCTAAACTGACCCGAACTCTCCAAGGGCATACAGCTTTTGTTTCTTCGTTTGTTGTTTAACGCCGCTCTCAGCAATATTCCAGCTATATGGCGGCGATCTGTAAGTAATCGAGTCTGAACCAGACAATCCAGCGAACAACGTCATGAACATCGATCAATGCAATCGGGATGACATTTTGGGTTGCAATTTGGGATGCAATCATGGGCTGCTGCTGAGTAATTCTAACCATGATCTTCACGGGTCCAAGGGCACATCTGTCCGTGTTGAAAACCTATCATTGCAAAAATACAGGGAGTGCTTAATTAAGTTCTTTGTGTATATTACATACGGCCCAGGACCCGTGTAGATATGTCTTCAAGATATTAGGTATATGTAGTTGTCCCACATGATTCGAGGGGGCGGTGGGGTAGCCCAGTGGTTACAGCGTCCGCTCATCACGCCGAAGACCCGGGTTCGAATCCCCACATGGGCACAATGTGTGAAGCCCATTTCTGGTGTCCCCCGCCGTGATATTGCTGGAATAGTGCTAAAAGCGGCGTCAAAACATACTCACTCACTCACATGATTCGATCATGATTATACCACGAGCGGCCAAGAGCTCATAAAATATTATCATCGTTCAGTCTTGTCAAAGAGTTACATGTGGTTACATCACAGGCGCCACGTGTGGGTTCATGGTCGTCCTGGTGCCCACACATCAGTGGGCAAGGTGTGGCAAGGTGTGGCAAGGTGTGCTTGTTTGCCCCATCTGTTGTTATTGTTTTCTTTCGGATTGCACTTGTGTGACCTCAGCTTATGACCTTGCTGTGAACGTCACATGTTGAGGCTTATCACTCCGCACACTACCCTGGTTTCTCGTAACTCATTTTCCTGTTGTTACTGTGTGAATCATAGGGGACTTGGTACATTTGCTACACAATGCTACACTTGCTGGACACAATCTAACCCGGCGAATCCAGACTGTTCCGCTTCCAGAGAAATCGTCGTTAATTGTAACTACTCGGCAAGGGGTGGATTGTGGGGTACGTCTGGTGGTTGAACTAACTAACGTCACGTGATAACACAGAGACATGGCTGGATGATTATAGATTTGTAACTAACATTTCACTCTATTTACAATCATTATTGTCAGGCTGCTGGTTGGATTGGATCAGTGTGTTTGTTGCTTAACGTCGCACCTACAAAGTGTTCAGCTATATGGAGACAGTCTGTGTATGGTCGCTTCTTGACCAGACAATCATACTGCATCATGACAATCGATCTATGCAATTGTGATACGATGACATACATCATCAGGGCCGAACACCTGACCAGCCGATCACCTCTCACGTTGGTTGGTTTGTTGTTTAACGCCGCACTCAGCAATATTCCACCTACATGGCGGCGGTCTGTAAATAATCGCGTCTGGACCAGACAATCCAGTGATCAACAGCATGAGCGTCAACCTACGCAACTGGGATACGGTGACGGTCAACCACCTGATCTCGTTAGTCGCGTCTTACGACAAGCATGGGTTGCTGGAGAGGGTTGTGTAAAGTACCATGCATGATATCTAGTCAATGCCTGCCTTGGATGCATCACGACTGTTGCTGATTGGTGAATGTCATTATCACCGACTTTACTGCTATTGCCACTGCTATTTTACTTTACCTTTGAATTTAGTACTGTCATAAATTGTGCACTGTCAGTGGCATTACTTTGAAGCTGTTTGGGTTGATTTGTAAATGTAGATAAGTTTATAACACAATTGTGAATCTAATGACATTTTTCTCTCGCTGAAATCTTTTGGTTAGCTTGTTGTTTCAGTTTGAAAGTCGCCTAGCAGCAAAATTTACATCAAACGCACTTAACGAAGACATAATGAAACACAAACAAAGTACTTGTTAAAGGAACCGACGAACCTCACCCTGTGTAAGATACAACAAAGCAACCGCTTTCAGTGTTTGATGAAGGCAACTATTCATCGACGCTAAAATATTCTGGCAAATAGGCCTGTATCTAATAATCGATCGAATTGTCTTAACTGAATGTAAAACATACCCACAAGCGGCTCCAAATCTATTTTCAGTACAATTCGATCGGTCCATGACAGCGTGTAATTGTGACGGAAGGATGGCTCAAGGATTCTCGATCGGAAAGGATGGAAAGCGTCAACACCCGAGCGGCCATCCTTGCATTGAATCAACTGAAGCTATAGGGACTACTTTAAATGGATATATGTAGGTGTTGATTCTAAGAAGAGAAGAGTACTCTTGAACCAAATTATTGTGATGTGTAAACTTTTATTTAAAAAAAAAATAACTAAACGTACAGGAAATTGTTTATAGGATTTTCCGTCATGTTTCCCCGCGTCAATGGCAACACATGATCACTAGTTCCACTTAACTACTGTATGTTGATTTTAAAACTTGAGATGTTTAAGGGAGATTAGTTACATCGCACTGAACATCATTCTCAGTTCGTAATCCAAAAAATCATCTCTGGGAAACATCATTCGAATTATTCATCGTAAGATCGTTTATTCACGATTAATGATAATATATTACATAATGGAACTCGAAGATATTTGAAATTATTTTAAGTACTGCGCAAAATGATGGAAAATACAAAACAATGTCCTTTATATTGATCTGGAAGTCCGATATTCCATTGCCCAATATGTTCTATAGATTTAGAACAAATATAACAAGTTGTTGGTTGGTTGGTTGGTTGGTTGGTTGTTTAACGCCGCACTCAGTAATATACCAGCTGTATGGTGGTGGTCTGAACTATAGACTTTCTGTACAAGTGCCAGTTATAGGGAATGTAATGCTTGGTTCCACGGGGCGACGATATCAGGCAGTTGGGGACTCCCAAGAGTAAGCCACTACAAGATACTGAGAACAGATGACTTTCCCCTCCGCATTCAGGTATTTCATATGTACCATGATGAACCGGGGTGGCAGTGACTTGTGCCATCTTTGAAAAAACATGTTATTATCTGTTGATTATTTATATAATACATACGACTGCTTCCGTGGTGCGTCTATTCCGATACCGCCTATGTGGTGTAGTGGGTGGAGCGTCTATCCCGAGACCGCCTATGTGGTGTAGTGGGTGGAGCGTCGGTCTGGTGATGCAGCGTCTATCCCGATACCGCCTATGTGGTGTAGTGGGTGGATGATACCGCCTATGTGGTGCAGCGTCTATCCCGATACCGCCTATGTGGTGTAGTGGGTGGAGCGTCTATCCCGATACCGCCTATGTGGTGTAGTGGGTGGAGCGTCTATCCCGATACCGCCTATGTGGTGTAGTGGGTGGAGCGTCTATCCCGATACCGCCTATGTGGTGTAGTGGGTGGAGCGTCTATCCCGATACCGGGTGGAGCGTCTATCCCGATACCGTCTCCGTGGTGTAGTGGGTGGAGCGTCTATCCCGATACCGCCTATGTGGTGTTGTGGGTGGAGCGTCTATCCCGATACCGCCTATGTGGTGTAGTGGGTGGAGCGTGGTGTGTAGTGGGTGGAGCGTCTATCCCGATACCGCCTATGTGGTGTAGTGGGTGGAGCGTCTATCCCGATACCGTCTCCGTGGTGTAGTGGGTGGAGCGTCTATCCCGATACCGCTATGTGGTGTAGTGGGTGGAGCGTCTATCCCGATACCGCCTATGTGGTGTAGTGGGTGGAGCGTCTATCCCGATACCGCCTATGTGGTGTAGTGGGTGGAGCGTCTATCCCGATACCGCCTATGTGGTGTAGTGGGTGGAGCGTCTATCCCGATACCGCCTATGTGGTGTAGTGGGTGGAGCGTCTATCCCGATACCGCCTATGTGGTGTAGTGGGTGGAGCGTCTATCCCGATACCGCCTATGTGGTGTAGTGGAGCCTATGTGGTGTAGTGGGTGGAGCGTCTATCCCTGATACTCTCTATGTGGTGTAGTGGGTGGAGAATCTATCCTGATACCGCCTATGTGGTGTAGTGGGTGGAGGGTCTATCCCGAGACCGCCTATGTGGTGTAGTGGGTGGAGCGTCTATCCCGATACCGTCTCTTTGGTGTATGAGGAGGGCAGACAACCAAAGTATAATGTGACTGGATGGGGATATTCATGATTTTAACTGCAGCATGGTGTCACAGTTGGCGATCTATATAACCGGCATTAGAAATTAATAGCGACAAAACCCTTTCCATAACCTCTGAGCAAAGACCATCAACCCATAAGTACATCCGTATTCCAATCGTCGTGGTTTGCACAGATCTTACTGCAATAATCTACCACGAAGTGATATCACTTCTAAAATATTAATAGCCAGAGGTCCAATTACTTCACATTCATTTGTGAACATAAAGATATTTAATTTACATTTGCTCAGATGCATACACTATTTCTTTGGTAAGTTAACCTACCGTTACTGGTTTCAACAAAAACAGACCCTTCTCAGCATTACAAACAAAGCATAACCTTTGTTT